CACACAGTCCCCGCCTTCTCAAGTCTGTATGTGACTGTGAATGTTAGGTTAAAAGCACTTGGAGTGAAGTAATGTAATGAGTAGGAAAGTACTGTAGAAGTACGAGTTCTTCTAACTCGTCCTTTGTTCTTCTGCAGCCTTACTATCGGTCAGAGGATATCCCAGAGGACTGGGACAAAGGACCAGTTAAAATCCTGGTGGGAAAGAACTTTGACTCCGTTGCTCTGGACCCGACCAAAAATGTGTTTGTGGAGTTTTGTAAGTCAAGCTGCACTTTAAAGTCCTGGACAGGGATCTTGTGAAATCAAAGCGTTCGTTTATTATTCAACTCAATCAAATTTGCAGTGAAGTTTGCCAACATCACTTTGATCATCACCTTTCTCTGACTTCAAATTCATTAGTCCTTGATTCAAGCTGCTTCACTAAATGATTTTTAGAGTCCGGCACTAACTTGCTCAGAGTTGCTCCGGTGTCTCATCTTACTTTAATGTCCTGGTCTAACAGGAAATTTGGCAGCTGGAACCCTGCACAAACACCGAGGATAGACATTTCCAATGCAGTCTTTAAACCTTTGACAAGAAAAATATTTGCATATCCACCAACAGTGGATTCAAGGAAGGAAAACTCCTTGAATTTACTACTTCTGAACAAAACATCCTCTCAAGAGAGCATGGAGCAAAGGCTGTAGAGTCTATAGCATGCTGAACGATTCTAATGTTACAGAAACTACAGAAGAGGACACAAAACAAGCACTAACAGAAGTAGATTAAGCTACTGAGTGAAGGAGGTACTGATATTAGATGCAGCATCTAATATATGATAACATTATCATTCAAGTGTTGTGTTAAAGCTGGAGAGAACTCAAAGTGAAGCGACAGGAAGCAGAAGCATAGTCAAGCAATATTTATTTACAGTTTACCAAAGAACATCATGAAGTGTTTGAGACAGAGAAGCAGAATGAGCTGGTAAAAGGGTCGGAGCTGGCAGCGTGCACACAGACTCCTGATGCAGAAGAGCGAAGGCTAATCTGAGCCAGTGAGAGCAGAGAGGGACACTCAGACACAAGTAATCTGTGCAAGCTGGAGACCAGAGGAGGTCCACTCCAGGAGTGGATCAGCAAGGAATTAGCAAGAGGTTTAGTGAGTGGCCCGAGAAACTGAACGGCTGATTATGTGATTGGGCAGCATGCTGGAGCTAAGGACCGGTATTTGAGGCAAAGATGATTGCACATGATTGGCAGCTGGAAACTCAAGCCACCAAGCAACTGATTCCACTCCTGTAATCAAAGCAGGGCATGTGGAGAAAGATACGGATTTGGGAAAAAACTCTCTGAAAAAGGCTTAGCCTGGAGAAAAAGTAGTATAAATTCACACCTGTTCTTTTTATATGTTCGAGGCATAATTATGCTGTGGCTGTCGTTTAATCTTTTAATCCTGCCAAAATTTGCTTAAACGTTCTCTTGCACACACTGAACAGCTGATTAGAATTTGCTGGCCAAACACCAATGCAACCAGTCAAGACTACAGCCACAAAATGTCTAATAAAATAGCATTTTAAAGCCAGAAGGTCGATGGTCACCTTTGCTTTGCCATAGTGTTGTTCTTCAAAAACACTTTTTTGGCCAATATTTGGTGCCATACACACACAGAAGCAGAGGGTGAGACGGTGAAGATATTTCACCTTCGGTCAGATGCTGATCTGGTGATGCTGACCTTTTGTGTCCACCGATTAATAAATTTGTTCAGCGTCTACACTGCATGTATCTTGAGTCTGGACACAATTAAGTACAGTAAATTCCAACTTTAGTATATGGATGGAGTCACACAACTGCAAAAAGGTAATATTAGTTAGCAACAACCAATCCTAAAGTTCATGCCAGGCTTGCGGCAGTTTTTCAAATTCTTCATTGTGTATTTGGTGGTGAATAGATGAACAAAAGTAAGAAACGCAAACAGAGAAGATAACATCACATTTATAGAGGTATGATAAAATGAACATGATATCTATGAAAATTAACAGAGCTGGGATTTATAATGGATCTAAAAAAAAACACCATCTAGATGTTAGTAATGCAAGTTTCATTCAGATTGGCCCACCCATTAAGGTGGAGAAAGGGCACATACTCTGTAAGAAGATTATTGTTCTCACTTAACACAAGTAATTAACTTGGCCACGTCACTACTCTAAAGTCAGATGGGGCAAGAGCAGTAAGACAGGCCAACAGTTCAGCTGGATATCTAAAATAAAGAACATACACTATGTGGACAAAAGGATTAGGAAACGCCTTTTAATTCAGGTGCTTTCAGTTTCATTGCCACAGGTGTATAAAGTCAAGCACCTAGCCATGCAGTCTGCCTTTACAAACATTTATGAAAGAATCGGTTCTGTAACAGGATGCCACCATAGCAACAAGTCAGTTTGTAACATTTTCTGTGACATCTATAAATTCCACGATCAGCTGTAAGTGTTGGTAGACCACGTATAGATCATAAAAGACGCCAACTCTCTGCCGACTCAGTAACTGCAGAGCTCCAAACCTCTGTCATTAACATCAGCACAGAAACTGTGCACCAGGAGCTTCATGGCATGAGTTTGCATCTCGAGCAGCTCCTGTTGGTGGAACATGGAGCTGGCCAAGTTCTTTGGTCCATATAATGTGTGTAGATTAGTATGCACCAAACAGGGAGTTGGCATTAAGGAAGTTAACGTTTATTTAGCTGAACTTAAGGTTTGTTCAAACACGGTAAGAACCTCCTATCCTTTCACATTTCCTTTAAGCAACGAAGCAGATCTCTAAAATGGTTATTCCTCTGTGTTTACTGTAACATACAGCTGAAATAATCCACCTTTCATTAATTCATCTTCACCAACATTAGAATGAGGTTCCTTGTATGTGTATCTCTGTGTGTCTGAGTGTAGATGCTCCATGGTGTGGACACTGCAAGGAGTTGGCTCCCATCTGGGATCAGCTTGGTGAGAAATATGCCGACCATGATGACATCATCATAGCCAAAATAGACGCCACAGCCAATGAAGTGGAGTCTCTTGACATTAAGAGTTTCCCAACACTCAAATACTTCCCAGCTGGTGACAAAGAGGTACACACACACGCGCGCACACACACGCACACACACACGCGCACACACACACCTCGACACACTGCATTCTTTCCTTTTCTCTCAGGTGATCGAATACACTGGAGAAAGGGACCTGGAGACATTTTCTAAATTCCTGGATGGTGGAGGAGTTTTACCTAAAGAGGAAAAGGATGAGGATGACGACGATGACGACGATGATGATGATGATGATGAGGATGAGGTGGATGAGAAGAAGGAAGGCGACAAGGCTGCTGGCGATAGCAAGGTTTGTGTTACCGCTGCAGATCTATGCTGTTTTTCTTTTAAAAATAATCCACAGTTCACACGTTTTCCTCTTTTTCAGGAGCCTGATGAGTCCGCAGAGGAAAAGACCAATAAAACATCCAAAGATGAGCTGTAATGTCACTTTTTGGCCAATCAGGATCAACCTAGCAACTTTGAATTTTCTTAATAAAAGTGATACAGGTTTAAAGTGTTGGCTTTGTTGTGAAAAAGCTTTAAACTTTTTGTCTCGATGCTTGCTTCTTTATATGTCTGTTGAGTGCTTCACACGGCTGAATTTGACAGGTTCAACACAGACGGTAATATTTATAGAGACTCTCCAAATGTGTCATAAAATTGAGCTTCAGCAGGATTACGAGGACACAATGGACCAGGATCAAGGTTGGACGTAGCAGTGCAGTGAAAAGAATTTCTTAGAGATTTCTTGGAAACGAGTCACATAATGATTTGTTCTGTGAGTTTCTTTGTGTACAAACTGTGATCAGCTGACTTGTGCTGCTGCTCTGATATTCACTGCTCTTTATCTTGAATTCAACAAGACATAACTGTATGTGTTGTGAGCTATGTGGCTTATTTCTAACCCCCTTAATATGATAAATCTAGTGTAAAAAGTAGAAACCAGTGCATCTATCTAATCAGCATCACCTCAAATATAAATTAATGTCTGCTACCCTTTATCACTGTGTGGGAGGTATTTGTTATACAATATGGAGGACTCAGGCATAGAACTGAACTCAAAAGCAGCTTTATTGCTGAACTTACATGAGACTGAATAGAAAGACTAAGCAGACATGTGGGAATACAAGCTAAGAAACTACACAGGAACTCCAAACAGACAGGACACACAGCTTGAGGGAAAGACAAACAAGGGCTTAAACAGACACAGGAAGTAATGAGGGAGATGGAGTGCACCAGGGAGCCCAGGTGAACTAAATCAGGCTAACAAGACAGAAGAAGCAAAAACACAGTGCACACATAAGAGACGATCAAAATAAGACCAGAAATAAACAAACACAGAGACAGAGACCCGGACTCGAGACAAACTAGATGCAGGTAAAGACTAAATAAACAGAGACATGACTGACCTGAGACAACAGGGTGACCAACCATAGGGACAGGGCACAGTGAGAGTGGACACAGAAGCATGAGCAGAGCCAGAGATGAAGATAACTAAATTTTACAGACTCAAAAGATCAAAATACAAACAGGTTACAGCCAACGAGCTTGATTTTATTTATATAGTACATTTAAAACAACAACTGTTGAGCAAAGTTGTACATTTAAATAATCAAAAGAGATAAAAACAAAGGAAGACATGGCAAAATGTAAGAAGCATAAAGTGAGAAGATCTGAGTAAGAAATAAGACAAATAAAAGTAGTATGAACTTATTCTCATTTAAAAGCCAAGGAATAAAAGGTCCTGATGTGAAGCGGCAGTTTGTTTCACAGTTTAGGAGCAGTCACGGCAAAGGCCCGATCTCCTCTGTGCTTTAATTTGGACTTTGGGACAGCTAGGAACATTTGATCTGCAGACCTCAGTGATCTTGCAGGAGTGTACCAGTTCAAAAGATCAGAAAGGTATGAGGGTGATAACTCGTGCAATGACTAGGACATGAAGAACTAGAGTGTAATCACATAATAACTCCAAGAATGAACCAAAAACCCACAAAACTTAAGAAACTGGGAGGAGCAAGAAAAACTCAAGAAACTAGGAGGTGTTAGGACCCAAAGATCCTAACACCCCTGATGTAACCTAGTAACAGTACTTCCATCCCAAATAGTGCATCATTGTAAACGTTATCACGATACAGCAAACTAACCGGTGTAGCCTGAACTAAACTGCCAGCTGTTTTCATGCAAGCTCTGAACAAGACAAAATTCATATATTTAATTTGCTTTGGAAAACATTTTACAGACATAATTTTGCAATTTTGATCCAACATTTGGTTAAAAAACTCTAAAATGAATCAACATTAATTGCAGATCTAAATTTGATTTTCTAAAACTTCACTTGCTGAGCAGTCCTTACCTTTGCAAATAACCTCTCATCTTCTTCTCTTGCATCACTTTAACGCTGCAGCAGCTGTAGCGCTCACAGACACAATGTGTGACAAACTGGAGAGAAAAAGTTTGTGTTTCCTGATAATTGTTGAGCTGATTGAGAAGTAGTTGAAATGGCTCTAGGCTTAAAAAAAGTTAACTAATTCAATAATAATATGCTTTAACCTGCCTAATGATAATAATAATGCACATCCATTCACTGTTCACGTGCATTTAGGTGTGCAGAGTATCCAGCTGAGGTTCAAAGTGACCATCAGAATGGGGACGAGAGGTGATTTAAGTTATTTAATGTGGCACTTATTGTCATAGTGCAAGACAGGGTGGTCTGAGAATTTCAGAAAACGGTCATCTACAGAGATTACTCATCACAACCATCTGTAGGGTTTGCAGAGAGTGGTCAGAAAAAGAGAGAATATCCAGTGAGCTGCAGCTCTCTGGGTGAAAATGCATGTTAATGTCAGAGGTCAGAGGAGAATGGCCAGGCTACTCTGAGATGAACAGAAGCAACAATAACTCAGATAACCACTACATACAGCCAAGGTACGCAGAAGAGCATCTCTAAATGCAGCAGAAGACCACATCACTCCTGTCTGCTAAGAACAGGAAACTGACGATACATTCTTTAAAAGTGGACAATAAAAGATTAGAAAAAACATTTCCTGGTCTGATGGGTCTCAATTTCTGTTACAACTTTCAGACGATAGGATGAGAAAAATGGATCCATTCTGCCAAGTACCAACAGTTCAGGCTGCTGGTGGATGTGTAACTGCCAAATATGCTTGGCTGCCTGGCTGAATGAGGCAGTTGTATAAAACTTTGAGTACTCCAGTGGAGTAGAAAAGCGCTTTATAAGAACCAGTCCAGTTACTATCTTTCCAAAGCTTTGGGGGGAAAATGAAGAAAAAAGAAAGAAGGAAAAGAAAACCAAAAAAGCACCGGTTGTCTTAGAGCATATATAAAAACT